GAGTCCTCTTGGGCATTGTGAGCAGCAAAGTCGATGTTCTTTTCCCGCAACTTCTGAAGGAGTTCCTGGCTGAGCCCAGGTAGTTGTACCCGAACCCTCTGAACCCGGTTTCCTAATTCTGGAGATACAGCCTCAACAATAGCTATGGTCCCGTTTTCGAACAAATCTACTTTTTGCACCCTATCCTTGTCCAAATACTCCAAAAATCTAGAATAAGACATCCTTGAGTTAGAAACACCTTGCTCATCAGCGTAGGCTTTTCCATCACCTAACAAAGCAGGTACTCCAAGCCCAACATTTCCAAGCAATAATTTGAGAAAGCCTCTTCTTCCTTCATCTGGCCTTTGCTGAAGAGATGATTTTACAGCTATTCTCGATGTTTTACTAGAGGATGGAAGATTTGGGGAGAATAAAATTTTCCTGCCATAAATCTCCTTCCTGAAAACTTTCTGCTTTCTATGAGTGGACAAACTATTTCCTGCTATGCATACTGATGAAGTAGACATATTGATACACTCACAAGAAACAATAACCTTGCAGAGTTCACTTCTATTGATAAATCTGCAAACTAGAAACGACAAAGTTGATAACTGCAACTCCGCAAGTTACAAGGAAATAAATCAATCAGGTATAGGACTGGTAATCATGCCCATTTAAATAACTTCTAAATTATAGGGAATTCATTGCGCTAGCAAGTTTTTCCCTTTTCTATTTTATATCTCAATTTAATACATACTTAAGATAAATACCACTGATCTCAATGATGATAATTCTGCAACCCATATTTAAGTATATCAATTTCATCTAGCAATTGATAGCTCCTATTTTCCTTTCTGGGTGGCATGAACATTGCCAGTTAAAATTATGCAGCAAAAGTTTAGGTGTATTTACTGCATGCAAATGCTTAGCATCTGATTTTTGAAGTTTAACCTATATTACAAAGATCTTTCATTTACTTTAACACGTATCAACCGGATGTGACATGGATATGGGTAATTCATGCATATTCTTTAAAATACTCTAAAAATTAGCAAGAAACTAACACATCCATATCGGATATTTGCACACACCCGTATTGTATTGGTTTACCATGTAAATAGAGTGTAACTATATCTAAGTACTTTAAGAAGTTATCTTCAAACATGGATCTCCATTAAGTTTAAGTTACAAAACAAACAGAAACCCCATAAATCATAATTGAACATTACAATGGATACTTTAATCAAGAGAATCCTCAAATCTTAACATTTTCATAGGTTGTTAAAAAGAGACATATGAATTTGAATGCTACTTGGAATGAAGACAGTGAAGGTAATTCATCTGAAGGTAAAATTTACTCATTTCAAGCCTTTGATTATTGCCAATCTCAAGAATTTTCTATAAAATTTTTAGCTTGGCACCTGGGTATCAAGTAAAAATTGAGCTTTGTTAGCTCAAGAAATTCAAATCCTCCCCTTAAGATAGCCAGTTATGTGTGTTCCATTAATAATAACAAATAAAAACCCAACCAATTGAAGTTAAAACTTTTCCACATATCAAAAACTAAGGCTTTTGAAATATCCATAGCTCCCCTTCTATTGTGAATAAATAGGCCATAACATAAGAAACTATCTTCATAGCTTGAGGAATGTGTGTGTGCGTGTGTGTGTTTATATACAAAACTACAGGTGAAGGAGGAGTAAATTCACTGAGGCATTATAACGAACAGATTTCGATCAGAAAACAATACAGATTTAAAATTAAGAGCCGAGTAAGGAAGCAGAGTAACAGAAAGAGAAAGTACCTGACAAGCTGAAAGAGGAAAGATATTGGAGTGTGGGGAAGATGGGAAGAACAAAGAGGGGGTAATTTAGAGGGAGTGGATGTGGTTTAGGAATAGGGTACGTGGCTTTTTCCTCAATGGATAATTCAGTCGACAATTCTTTCACAAATTGCTGTTTGATTTTTCTACGAGAATATTTTTGGCAATTTTCGAAAGATTTTATTTTACGGTGTGGCCACTCTTTAGTCAATTGGCCTCTCAATTTCTTGCCTTGGGTGTCATGACAAACATGGTACTCCGCAGTCCGCACAAATTTTGTGGCCGTATATTTAAAAAAAATTCTTTATTTTTCTAACTTAGGTGTGGAAAAGACCTTTGGTGGAATAAAAACTTGTGTAACTAAGTGATGCAGTGAAATATTATTCTTACCAGAAAAGTTTAGTCAAGAGTAGGATGAAAATTGTACTATGAGTTTAGTAGTCTTTATTACTACTAGTATTTAACTGTGATTTAACAGAACAAGGTTAGACTATGTACAAAGCATTTAATTTGTGATCAATCATTGTCAAGGATTAAGAATTGTTACTTTTGATGGACAACTTACCACCTTTTCCGATTTTTTCATTTGCATATAAGCAAACTAAAAGGTGACTGCAATTTCATTATAGTTGACAACAAACAATCATTTTTGCAAAGTAAAAAGGGTCTCCTATTTCTCGTCCTATAAAGAATGTCCGCATTATTGGAAACAACATCTCTATCTTTACTAGGTAGGGGTAAGGTCTGCGTACACACTACCCTCCCAGACCCCACATATAGGAATATATTGGGTATGTTGTTGCTGTATAAAGAATCTCCGCATTGTTGATCGCCCTAACCAGCCTAGGCTAGCTTTGACGATTGTCATCTCTTTCAATCTAGCTTAAATACCTATTTAAGCTATTTTCAGAAAGGGCAGCCTCCCTAGTAGGGTGGTTAAAAAGAAGGCTGCGGATTTCTGACCTCCAAGCCAGAACTACATTGGGGGCGGAGGGGGGGGGGATCTCTCAATTATGAAAGAGCCAATTTTTATTCAAGCAAGATATTTCCTTTGTAAGAAGGAACAAATACATAATACATCTCTTTGTGTGTTCAGATACAGGTACTATCTACTAACAACAGAAAGTGAATAAACGCAAGGCAAGTAACATTAGCCTAAAAACTAAACAACCCAATCTAGCCTCTGGTTAATCTTGGTAAGAGAATGGATCTAATATGATCCAGTTCAAAATTCTCATCAAATGCTCTCATAATGGAAATAAGGTCCCTTTCCACCATTAGATCATGTGGCATCGTGTTTACAGAAGTCCTAGCCGATGAGTCTGTGCTTTCTTTCATCCGTTCGCAAATTGCAAAGCGACAAACAGGACACGAGCCATGGCTCGTCACCCATGGAACAATACAATCTTCGTGGAACATGTGGCTGCATGGAGTTACTGTCACCATTTCTTTAGGCACAAAATCTTCCAAGCAAATGGCACATCTTTTACCATCTTCGTCGTTGTCCTTTTTCAATTCGTTGGTAGTACTATTATTCATGTTATTGTTCAAGCCTCTAAAATAAAGGCTTACTTGTCTTGCAACTTTTGTTTGTACAGGATTGTAGATTTCTTTCTTGAGCTTATTCAAGGCAGACTTTTGCTCATCTGGGCTCAATTTGGATTCGTCCTGGTTTAGTGGCTGGTTCTGCATAAACCAAGGAGGAGGAGATTCAAATGGAGGTTGGCTTGGCCTAGGATATGGTGCATGTCTTGGTATGTCATCGTCGTGGACTAGAACGCGAACAGGAGGATGAGATGATCTACGTCGTGGTTGACCTGGATATGGATAACTGCAAGTGGTTCTTGAAATGAATCTTGGATTTTAATCTGGAAAAAGGATAGAAGAAAATGTTTACCTGGTTGCACCATGAGGTACTGGAATTGATCTCTCTGTTACAGGCAACCATGGATCATGAACGACACGTCTATAATTCTATGAAACACAAAACACCTCAAATCAAATCAAGTGGAGTATATAGGAGCTCTTTCTGGTGTAAATATATACAAAAGCGGATTCATGATTTAAACTTAATAGGTTCAACCTTAAGGTTCTTAACAGTAAACTCTAGCTTTTGAAAACATGTATTCACATTTTAATATTTGTTCAAATTTTGGTGTTTAATAACATGACATGTATATGTATGTCCAGTGTCGAAATACTGGCTTCAACCTCTGGTCATGTAGAGGAGAAGGAGAGACTTACCTGAGGGATATCTCGGGGAGGTGTAGGACGAGGGAAAATGGGTTGCCATCTGTTCCAGTTGCTGTGCTCAGGTTCATGTGAAGTAGAATCATGCCACTGTTCAGGACTCCAATTCTCATTTGGTGTAAAATTATAAGGTCTGTAACTGCTCATGTTTTAAGAATTTCCTCTTAATCTCGGTCTCTGTATCCTCTCCTTTTGTGTTGTTTTCTTCTTTAGTTCTGCATTGTTTGGGGCAAGGGGGAGAGGAATAAGAAACTATAGCTTAGGAAGCTTCAAATTTGGGCAAATAAATGGCACATATACTTGATCCATGTTAGCTTGTTTCTCTCGAGTTGCTATAATACTGTACGATGAGGTGAAATGTGATTCTTTTTCTCAATCAAAAGGTGCTTCTTTGCGGTGGGTGGTGTATGGAATAAAAGACAAATTAAAGTAGTAGAGAAGTAAAGAATCCAGTTCTTGGCTGCTAGTTGCGTAGTTGTGTCTTTGGTTCTGAATGTAGATTCTCTTCATAATTTAACTTAGTGTCAGTGACTTTCCAGAGCAGCAAAATCAACGGACGGATTCATGTCTTTGGCCATCTTATCATGTTACCGAGTTGGATTAATCAGATTTGCAGAACGTCCAAAGCCGAACCGTCGTAAGTGTGAAAGAAATCAAATTGGAAAAAACGGAAGCTAGAGTAGGTGGACGACCAACGTAAGATTGTGCTGAATCCTCCTAATATTGATTTACGGACTGGAATGGTCAGAGATGATTCATATAGCCAAACTCAACTAGTTTAAGATTTTGACGTAATTGATCAGAGGATTCATATAGCCGAACTCAACTAGTTCAAGATTTTAACGTAATTGATAGATATGATGCTATTCATAATTGGAGATAATTGGCACAATGCGCAGGTGTATGACTTGAGATAATGCATATCAAAGATATGATAACACTCTCCACGAGCAGAGATGTTGAACACTCCATGTTATATAATCCTCAACCAACATTGCACATTTCTTGTGCTGAGTATCTATCGGAAACAGCCTCTCTACCCCACAGGGTAAAAATCTGCATACACGTTATCCTCCCCAGACCTCACTTGTGGGATTATACTGGGTTGTTGTTGTTGTAACATTGCACATTTCAGAAAGCGAAGTTTATTAACACTTTCCACTTAAGATAGTTGGCATTCTAAAAGGGAGTTCCTCAATCCTCAAGCTGTCCATCATAGAGAAATTTGACATGATGACTTCCTATATGGAAGTGCAGCAGCACTTGCTTTCAAATTGCATACTACAAAAACTTCCTTTTGCATGTATGTCATCTGGCTCGAGCCAACACCTAACGGGGAAAAGAAGGCCAAGAACCAAAGAAAGAAAGAAAATTAATGAAATAATTTGGTCAAAATAGCCAATCAAATGCCTTCCATGATAGTACTGGAGTCATAAACCGAAGAAAGCTCCACTCCTGGAGAACTTATAGCAATGGCGAAACAAATTCTCTAACATTTCATGTGTAACGAGGTGCCAGCTGAGCCACTGTGGAATGCTAGTGCAAATCACCTTTGGAAAATCAGAAAGGTTTCAACTAGTGCCTCCGGACACCATTTTTGTCTTGACAGACAAGACTGTTATATCAATTGCGCATCCTAAAATTACAAAACTAAAATTAGTCTAAGACATGACATATCAATCTCAAATATGGGCTAGGCTAGCACTAACCTGCTTTCCCCTGTCAATCACTTCGATGACAGTTACTTGCTCATAGTTGCTGACAACCAAAAATTCCAGAATATAGAAGCCATCGACATGAAAGCAACACGAGCTTGAAGAGGAATCACCCTATGAATTTCCAACACAGAAGTTGTCATATTTCATCATACTAAAGGCTATTCAGTTACTAGTCTAACCACAAATTCATGCTAAGAGCAGGTAAATTACTAGTATAACCACATAATTCAACCTGAACGAACGGAAATTAACAATAGCAGGTTCCAGAGGCAAGTAGATGAAAAGAGAGGAACATGTGATTGCATATGCCTTTTGCTAAAATTTTGTCTGATGACAAAGATCAATACAATTTGTAACACTAAACCAGAAATGATTATCCTTTCAGAATGATGACAAAATAAGTGTTCTATGAGATCATGCCATAGGGCTACAAGCCTGCACTAGAAGAAAAATTCTTTGTGGAGATTAAAAATCTTACATGCATGCTCAGACGTATTAATGATGCTAAGGAGCAGTAGCAGGTCCTTAACGTAATGCAAACAATGTAAATGCTCAGAAAACAAGCTTATAGCCACTAAAATCGACTGCAGGTGCATAAATCATAGCTCAAAACACGTTAATACTACCAGAATATGGACTGTTTCGCTGACCAGACGCCAACTGCAAAGAAAAGATGAAAACTACAAAAATAGTTCCAGAAATGGAATATTTCAGATATGACTTCTGGCATTGGTGCTAATTGAAGCATAAAGCATTGTATGCAAGGGCAATAGACATCATATCACAAGCAAATCATATAACTAAAACAATACCAGGACCCAGAAAAACGTTTTTACGAGAATGAGAAAAGCTTCGATTACAGCTAGGCTAACAGAGATCAGGAAATTTTTTTAATTTATATTGTCCATCTTTTAGGAAGGGGCTGAGGGTAGTAAAAGACATACCAAAAGTTCAATACACTGACAGGGATCCAGAACCTAAATCCTGCAAGAGAATGAAGAACGAAATCAAGCTTTGTAGGGAAGAAGGAATTAAAGCAACCAGCAAAGGAATGTAATATGGAAATGCTTACCAAAAAGCAGAGTTGGAAGGGCATCTTTCTGATACTTGTTCGGAAGATCTGAAAGTTTCCCCAGCCATAAATTATTCCATGCAAAGATAACAGCTATTACAGCAGGACCTAGTACAATTTGGTTTAATACAACCTGAAACAAAGAGTATTAAAGGTACTGGTCAAATGGAGCCAGGTCAAACTCATTACTTATAAAGAATTCTTTTTTAATTGGCAAGTCAACCTCATCATTAAAACAATTCTGCTCAGAAGCATAACTACCTTCATCAATATATTCTCCACTATTTGCTTGGGCATACATCTGTCGAGATACGAGTACCATGCGTAAGTACCAGGACCATATAACA